TGCTGTTTGGAATGCAGCGCTGATGTGGAAGATGTTTGTTTAGCTGTCACTCTCGAGCAGGCTGTGAGCCGTTCCGGTTGGAGGCAGCTCTCTGGATGAGGGCACAGTGAGAGCGGATGGGTTTATAGTGAGAGAAGTGAGTGATTCTATTAAGTTTGACCAGAGTTGGGACCAGCAGATGGTGGAATGGTTACATCGCTGGACACTCACATTGCTGACCACAGTTCAAGTCCTGGACAAGGCAGCCTGAAACTCATGCCGGGCGCATGTGTGTGCGTGCCCAAAATCCTGAGAGGAGGATGGAAGAGAAGGGATTGTGGTGTGGCCATCCCCTGGGGGGTGATTTCTCACCTTCTGTCTGTTGTATCTCTCTGTCTCTCCAGTGAGTGCGCACATCTTATGACAAAAATCTCTCTTTAAAAAAAGGGGGGGAACAGTAAATTTTGTAATAGTTATGTTGTTGGACTCCCACGTAGTTGATTGTGATTCGAGTCCTGGACCCAGTGGCTTAAAACTCATGCTGGGGGGACCAGCAGTTAACGTAATGGCTAGGTTTCTGGATTCCCATGTAGTCGACTGCAGTTCGCATCCTGGACCCGGTGGCTTAAACTCACGCTGGGCGCATGTGCATGCGTGCCCAAGATCCCAAGAGGAGAATGGAGGATGATTTCTCTGTCTCTCTGTCTCTCTCTGTCTGTCTGGCAAGCACACGTGCCCTATAGCAAAAAAAAAAAAAAAAAACTCAAGCTGGGTGCGTGTGCGTGCGTGCCCAAAACCCCAAGAGGAGAATGGAGGAGAAAGGATTTTGCTGTGGCTATCTCTCCTGGGGGGTGATTTCTTGTTTTCTGTCTCTCTGTCTTTCTCTGTCTCTCTGGAGAGCACACACACCCTATAGTAAAAAAACCTCTCTGGAAAAAAAATAAAAAACTTCACCAGAGTGACTCCATTTCATAAGTTGGCTCCATCTTTTTTTTTTCGAGTTTTTTTTTTTTTTCTTTTTCCACTATAGGGCCTGTGCGCTCGCCTGAAAGAGAGATAGAAAGCGAGAAATCACCCCCCAGGGGGGATGGCCACGCCGCAATCCCTTCTTTTCCATTCTCCTCTCAGGGTCTTGGGCACGCACGCACACGTGCCTGGTGTGAGTTTAAGCCACCGGGTCTGAGACTCAAACCGCAGTCGACTACATGGGAGTCCAGCGACATACCTATTATGCTAACTGCTGGTCCCAAGGTGGCTCCATCTTGATATATGCATGTGGGGGCCAGCAGGTGCTGTGGTTAAGGATGCTGGACTCCCACGTGGCTGACCGTGGTTCAAGTCTCGGACCTGGCTGCTTGCCTTCTCACTTTCCCTCTCTCTCTCACTCTGTCCCTCTCTGGTCAAATTAAAATAAATAAATGTTAAAAACATACATGTGTGTCCACTTTCTATTCCAGTGACTTTGCTTGGGGGCCCCGCTCTATTTACCTACTCACTGGGTCTAATTCCTGTCTCATTGGGGCCCGGGGGAGATGGGAGCTGAGAGCCCCAGGCCTGAGGTTGGACACCCCCATGTGAGCTGTCCTGGAGGCTCAGTCTGAAGGCTGTTGCCGACGCCCCGCCCCTCCCACCAGGGTCTTCGTCCAGCCGGAAATGACCACGGTCCTGCTCCTGCCCCTACAGGGGACACTGCTCTCACCATGGAGAGAGGGCCACATTTTCCAGCCGCATCTCCTCAAGGCTCACCTTCCTCCCTCACCCAGTTTCCCCTCGCCTCCCCAGAGCACCCCAGGGTACCCTCTGGACCTCGCCCCCACACCTGTCTCCCGTGCATCACAGGCTCATGGCCCACTCGCTGCTCTCCCAAATCCCGGGACAGCACCCCTGGGTCACGGGACGCCGCTCGGGGCTGAGGAAGGGGCGGCCCCGGCCCTCCATGCCACCCCTCCCCTTCTGCCTGGCCTCCTCGCCCACACCCGTGGCTGTGCTGCTGGTCCCTGGTCCCTGGTCCCTGGTGCTGGTTCTGGAAGCTTTCCTCGCCCGCCCACGGTTCCCCACACACTGGGCCTTGCTGGGCCGCTCTGTAGCTCCGCCTCCATCCCCAGCACCCCATTGGTCTGCCCGCTGGGGCCCCTGCGGGCTGTGCTGCCCTCCCCGCTCCGCCACCTCCTCTTAGGAAGGAGGCTCTGCCAGGCCCTGCCAGGCGCGGCGGGGCAGGAAGGTGCCCCCGGTGCTGTCTCGCTCCTCCACTCTTCCTGTGTTGGGCGGCTTCTGGGAAGGACAATGGTTTTCAAACCCATCTCTTGGGGACCGGCTGTGGAGTCTGCGCTTCCCTCGCTCATGTCCCTTGTTTATTTCTCACCCCTGAAACAAGAGCAGCAAAGCTCCCAGTTCTGAGAGGAGGGACGTCTCTGCTGCCGGCCAGGGAAGGAGACGGCCCTCGGGGCCTTTCCACGTGGCCCCTAAGGAAGGCTGAGAGGTGAAGGCTGATGGCAGGAGTGAGTCTCAGACCCAGAGTGGCAGCCCCACTCAGCGGCTTGTGTAAACCTGGCCTCAGGTCTGGCCCGGTACCCACCCACCCCGGGATCTGCAGCGCCACCTCATACTGTAGCCCTACAGCTGCTGCCTCTTGCAGAAGAGGCTTCCCTGGGAGCGCACAGCCTGGAGCTGCCAGTCCTGGGAGACTTCCTGCAGGAGGTGAGATTTGGGCCTGGAAGGACTTAGTAGAAAGGGCCTGAGGCCTCCTGGGCACAGCCCTGGAAGGAAAGGTCGGGCTGGTCAGGCTTCCCAGGGCCCAGGGGGTGGTCTTGTGGTAGGCAGTTAGTCGAGAGCGGGCAGCCCTAAGAGAAAGCGAGAGGCTCACCTAGCCCCGGGCACCACGAGGGCGAGGCCATTTGCCATGTTCCCTCCTTGAGGCCGGAGGGAAGACACAGGGGTGATTCGGAGATTTTCTCTTATCAAAAAGACCTAAGCAAGCGTTAGGGCAATGCCCCAATTCCTATTAGGGCGATGGGCGAACTGGGCAGTCTAATTGGGGCAGCCCGGCTCGCACTGGGCGTACGTGATTAGGTGATGGAGTTCCTCATTCTTCACCTGTGAGGCAGGTGCGCAGGTGCAGGAAATGCGCTATGGATTTTAATTTAAAGGACGGACATAGGCAGCGTAAGGGGCCTCCCATAACGAATATTCATGACCTCTAGTGATAAAAATAACAGTGAACTAGTACCAAGCACGGGTGCCACCTGGCAATCTGCCCGCTTTCGGGGACCCAAGGGCTCCCCCATGTTTTTCTCTTCTCAGGCACTAGCTCTACTCCCCACGTTGCTTGCCGCCTGCTGTACCCAGGGATGACAGCGGGGAGACTGCCAGGTGTGGAGGGCGCAGACAGCCTGCTCGCTGCAGCTCCCCAGTCCCCCTCTCCCGCTGACAGGAAGCACCCCCACGCCTTCCTTGCGCTGGCCCTGCCTCCCCCAGAGTGGGGCGTTGGGCGGAGCATGGACCCTCCTTCCGGCCCGTCTTCTCCCCGGAGTGGGGCGTGGGGCAGAGCGTGGACCCTCCGTCCTGCTGCTCTGGAGCCTGCATTCTGTCCTGGCCACAGCCTAGCCGTGCCCTGACAAGAATATGGTTCTGGACAAGGGCCAGGCATCCAGTAGGTGCTCACGCTATGTGTATTTGGGGAATTTGTAAAAACTGCTCGAAATTGACTTTGTTCGCGGTGAAAGTTGAAAGTGAGTGCTGCGGTGAGAAGGCAGATCAGGGCGTGCCTCTCCCGGAAGGGAGCTCTCTCCGTCCTCTGCACCCTGCACCCAGGCTGGTGTGGACCCAGGGACCCTGTGCAGAGCCAAAGGTGGTAGGGCCAGAGGTGTGGGGGGAGCCCTGCTCAGGGCCCTGGGGCCTGGAGGGAATTCCCATGGGTGGTTTTCTCTTCCTGTTTCCTCTAGGGGAAGGACAGCCAAGCAGGGGCAGAAGGCAGAGTAGGGAGGGCTGGGCAGGGCCACCTCACAGCTACTCAGGAGGCCCCAGCTCAGCACTCCCAGCTGCCACTCTCGGGGGAGGAGGCCTCCCCACCCTTTAGGGAGCCCCAGGGAGAGGGGTGCTGAGGCCAGCAGTCCCACAGCGGTGTCTGCTGCAGACCCATGGCCGCGGCCCCCCCCCCCCCCCCCCCCCCCCCTGCCACTCTCGGGGGAGGAGGCCTCCCCACCCTTTAGGGAGCCCCAGGGAGAGGGGTGCTGAGGCCAGCAGTCCCACAGCGGTGTCTGCTGCAGACCCATGGCCTCTAACTCAGGGACCGAGCAGGTTTCCTGATGGTGAAGCGGACAGGTGACCTCACTAAGCCCAGTTCACCCAACACTGGGGACCTACAGGGTCTGTGGGCTCAAGGTCCCACCAGACATGGGGCAGGGGTGGCTCCCCACGCTCGGCGGGAGCAGATTCCCTGGCAGTGCCCAGGTAGGCCTTGGCCCAGGCCTGTTGTCCTCAGATGGCAGGGACAGCTCCCTCAGCCCGGGAGCCCTCAATACCCAAGATGTGGCCCTTGGACCCTCACGCACTACCCCACCTGGCCTGGGACCCTTCTTGGTGGAAGATGGAGTCTGAGGACTTGTGAGTCCCTGGAGAGCCCAGGCCCGAGTCAGGACACCCCCGTGTGAGGTGTCCTGGGGCCTTACCCAGGGCAGCTGCCTTCCCGGCCCTCTGAGCAGCCTCTCCTTCTGCCTGCCCTGCGGTTTCCGGGACGCGCACGAGGCGTGCAGAAGCTCCTGCAGGAGGTTGGCACTGGAGGGTGACCTGCCATGTGGCGTCCTCTGGTGGGCTCCTGGCTCACCCTCATGGAGCATCAGCCCTGGCTCGCCCACCCCAGGGCCCCTTGGGGCCTGTGATGGTAACCCAGGAAGGGCCAGGGCCGGGTGGCCAGGGCAGGGGAAGACCCAGGGGTGGGAGCAGCCAGGCCTCAAAGGAAAGAACTCTGGGATGAACTCTGCCTGGTTCTGGAGCAGAGCGGGCACACAGCAGTCACTCGAGGATGTGCTCAGTGGTTTTTATTGTGTTCAGGAGATGGCATGGCCATACTCAGTTGCAGAGGTGTGAGGTGCGTGGCCCACAGCCTCCGTGCAGGTGGGAGCTGCCCCTCCCGGGGGTGGGGGTGGCTTTCATACCTTCTTCACTTTCATCTGGAAGAGAAGGGGGCAGTGGGCAGAGGCTGCTCCAGGAAGAGCCGAGGGCCGCCAGGTGGGCAGGCGGCCTCGAGGGCAGTGGAGAGGCCGAACCACCCTCTCCCAGACTGGACCTGGCCGCCCGGCCCACCCCAGCCTGCACCCCAGTGTGCCCCAGCCAAGTCCCCCTCAGTGCTGTCTGGGGGACGCCCCCTCCTGACCTCCTTTACTAGGCAGTAGGTGATCCCCATAATGACGGCCACACCAGCTATGGCCACCACGGCCCAGGCGATCGGGCCCCCGATCGCACAGGTCACAGTTAGTTCCGGGACAGCCTAAGGCGGGGAGAGCGGGTGACCTCAGTGAGCCCAGCCTCACCCAAGACCGAGGGCCCGAGGGCACTGTGGCTCCGGGTCCCACCAGACACAGGGCAGCAGCTGTCCTGTGGGACCCCGCTCAGGGAGAAGGACCAGATGCCGAGACGGACCTCACCCTTCTGCCCCCCGCAGTGTCCAACTGGGGACCGCGGTGCTCAGTCCCCCGAGCCTGCTGTCCTCGGGTGAGGGGGACGGCGCTCTCACCCCTCCGCACCACGGCAGGACAGCTGGGGGTGCTCACAGTGAGAGGCTCGCTTGCCCAGGCCGACAGCTGGGGGTGCTCACAGTGAGAGGCCCTTATGCCCAGGCCGCACCCCTCGGACCCCAGCCACCCTCAGAGCGGGCCTGGGAGCCCAGGGCAGAACGAAGCCCGAGGGGCCAGTGGGTCCCTGAGATCTCCAAGCCTGAGGTCTCCTCACCCTCCCTGCAGGTCACAGGTCTGTCCGGTGGGAGTGACCGCCCCCCCCCCGTCCCCCCACTGCTCCAGCTCTCACCGCAGAGAAGATGATACCGTTCTCCACCACATGCTCCAGCTCTCACCGCAGAGAAGATGATCACGTTCTCCACCACCATCTTCTCGGGGTGCCGGGCACGCTGCCGAGAGGAGGCCCAGGTCAGCACGGCCTCGCCAGCCCGCCTCCCGGTCACCCCAGGGCGCCCCTGGCCCTCCTCCCCACCCGGCAGCCCGGGCCCCCAGCCCCACTCAGTGCCCCCTCCAGGCCGCCCAGCCCTTCCTGCGGCTCCCTCACCCACCCACCCATGGCCACCCTGCTCCCCCTCAGCCCCTGGTGCTGCTTCTACACGGAAGTTTGGCTTTCTTGCCCACAGTCCCCGGCAGCCCCCAAGGGTTCCCCTGCTGAGGACCCCTCTGTGGCCTCAGTGCCCAGCCCTGGGGTGGGATCAGTCTCCCCACTGGGCCTCTGTCCCCGTGCTTGTGTGGCAGCGTGGGCGGCCTTGGAGGGCTGACTCCCCACGCTCCCACCCTGCCACCTCACCTTGGGAAGGGAGAGGCTCTTCTGGTCTCGGCCCTGGACCGTGGGCTGTTAGCAAGTGCTTTATGGCCCTGCCCTCTCCCTCCCTCTTCCTGTGTCTGGGTCACCTCTTAGAAAACAGTGGTTTCGGGGAAAGCACGTGACCTGGCGCTCAAAGCACAGCTGCTTGCTCAGCTCCCACCAGCCCCGCCCGCCCGCTGCCAGGGCTCAGCAACGGCCCAGGAGGGGTGCGGGGTCAGCCTGCGAGCTGGCTCCAACGCCTGTCTTTACTTTCACTTAGAGGGCACCCGTGCATGTTGGGAAGAGCCAGGGGCAGAAGGCGGGTTTGAGAAAGCACCCTCTGGGGAATGGCCACGCCACAATCCCTTCTCCTCCTTCCTCCTCTCAGGGTTTGGCACACACAGGTGCCTGGTGTGTTTTTCAAGCTACTGGGTCAGAGACTCCATCCACGATCCAGTCCAGCCCCGTCCACTCTCAGGCCACCTGCCAGCCCAGCAGGGCCCTTGTGAAGGGAAAGGAGTTGGGGGAAGTTCCCTCTGTGTCAGGGTAACAGCGGAGGGCTGGGGACAGCGAGGGAGCTCAGCTGGGCACAAGTCATGCCCGTCTGTGTGGGCAAGTCCCCAAGTTCTGCCGCCGGGGCCCCTGTGGCGCTCAGTCACGTGGTCAGCGGGGAGCGGGCCCGGTAGCAGCTCCTTTGTCCTCTGGCCAGTTTTTTTTTTTTAAGTTTTGTTCCTTTTTTTTTTTCTTAAAGAATTATTTTATTTAATTCTATCATTATTTTTAAAATTTGACCAGATGGGCCGGCAGGTGGCATGGTGGTTAAGGCAGCTGGACTTCCACAGGGCTGACCATGGTTCAAGTCCTAAACCTGGCAGCTTGCTTTCTCACTTTCCTTCTCTCTCTCTCTCTCTTTCTCTCTCTGATCAACTTCAAAAAAATAAGATAATTACAATAAATAAGATTAAATAAAAAATAATTCTTAGATAAATAAATTTGACCAGAGAGAGACAGAAAGAGAGGGAGAGGGAAAGTGAGAAAGCAAGTCTCCAGGTCCAGGACTTGAACCGCAGTCGGCCATGTGGGAATCTAGTGCTTTAACCATCACACCACTTACTGCCTCAAGTTTTGTTCTTTTTTCATTTGTGACAGAAAACAAGAGAGGGACCCTTCCCAGGCATGGCTTACGCACAATCTCTTCCTCTAGCCCTGCGGCCCACCGCCACCTTGGGAAGGCATATGTGCCTGGAGGGTTTTCGAGACTCAAACTGGGGTCCGCATGTGGCTCCCAGCCTCACTGACTGGCAGAGTGGCGTGCCGCTGGCTGGGCTGCTGAGTCTGTGCTGCAATTGTTTCATTTTTTCTTGAGAGAGATTTTTGCTATAGGGCCCCCAAATGCCCTGACTGCTGGAAAGTGACATGTGGGAAGACCACTGTAGGGATCATGTGGACAAGGCATCAGGACAGTTTTTCCAAGGGCTTTCTTTTTTTTTAATTGTAAAGTTTTTGCCATAGAGTGTGTATACTCGCTGGAGAGAGACAGAGAGAGATAGTGAGAGGGAAAGTGAAAAATCACCCCCCAGGGGGGATGGCCACCCTGCAGTCCCTTCTCCTCTTGGGATTTTGGGTATGCACACACAAGTGCCTGGTGTGATTTTCAAGCCACCAGGTCCAGATCTTGAACCACAATCAACCATGCAGAAGTCACCTGCTGTCCCCAAGGGGCTGTGTTTTTACATTGCTAGAGGGAGTGTGTTCATGGGGAGGGGGCAGTGGCGTACAGCAGGGCTGAAACCCTTCTCGGCTTCTCCGGCTCTTCAGGATTCGGAGCATGCGCACACGAGCCTGGCATGTTTGTAAGCCACGAGCAGCAGGAGTGAGCTCTGTCAGCCACGGGGTCGGCTCCCTAAGCACAGGGCTTAACCACTGTGCTGCAGGGCCAGTCCTTTACGGGCACTCGGCCGGCCTCTACAACTTACCCGTTCCCCAGCGTCGTCTGCTTTATCTCACAGGATTTGCTATTCCAGCCAAAGCCCTGGCCAGCGTTTTGGAGTCCTGCTAAAAGAACAGATTCGCACTCAACTCCCACAGATAGCTGGGTTGCCGTAAAATACGACATGACTGTTTTCAAACTGTGGAGCGATCAGGAATGGGGAAAAGCAATGCTTCAATTCTGTTCTCAAAAAAGACTTTACTGGGGCCCGCAGGCGACTGTGGTGGCTAAGGTTTGAGTCCTGGACTTGGTATGTTGAAAATCATGCCAGACGTGTGCATGCATGTCCAAAAATCCCAAGAGGGGAACAGAGAAGGGATGTGGCCTGGCTGCCCCCGGGGCGATTTCTTACCTTCCCTCTCTGTGTACCGCTCAGCGGTGAGTGCAGGTGCCCTACGGCAGTGGGGCAGTAACAAGGACAAAACACAAACACGGACCATATGCTGCACTCTCTGAAAGCCAAGATGTCAGAGAAGGGGATTATTCATTTAGTCTTCTGCTAGCTACTTAGATCGCATGCTAGATATTTACCATGTAGCATAAATGTCAGCTGTTTTAATTAAACCAACATTAAGGCAAATATGTTTTCTGCTCTAAAAACCTACACAAAATATATGTTGGAGGGACCAGCAGATGGCGTTTTGTTACTGGACTCCCATGTAGTCAACTGAGCTTCGAGTCCCGGACCCGGTGGCTTGAAACTCATGCTGGGTGCATGTACGTGCATCCCAAAATCCCAAGAGGAGATTGGAGGAGAAGGGATCGCTGCATGGCCATCTCCCCTGGGGGTGATTTCTCGCTTTCTAAGTCTCTGTCTCTCTCTGTCTTTCTGACAAGGGCATGCGCCCTATAGCAAAAACTTCTCCAAAAAAATAAATAAGTGAGGGACCAGCAGTTTGCGTAATGACTATGTTGCTGGACTCCCATGTAGTCGACCGCGGTTCAAGTCCCAGATCTGGTGGTTTAAACTCATGCCGTGCCATGTATGATTCGTCTATGTCCATTCAGATACCTATAAAAAGGGGACTTTGTGCTCCAAAAAATTGTATTTCACAGAGAACAAAAGTCACTTGAATAAAATAAATTCATGACATAATCAACTGAATGCAATTACAAGTAGCTGAGCACCATGAAATAAAAATACAATGTGTTTCAATGAAAAAACAAATAAGTGAGCGCACATACAAATTAATCTAAATGTTTTCCAAGTTCACATGATTGAATAAATCTTTGACAATACACTGGCTACCGATGTGTAGAAGAAATAAAAATGGAGACATCTTTGTAATCCCCAACATTTATATATATATTGTGTGTGTGTGTGTGTGTGTGTGTGTGTGTGTGTGTGCGCGTGCCAGTTCTGCGCTTTATTGAGGCCCGCGCTCAGGCCTCCACCGCGAACTTGTGCAGCGGCTACAGCTAAAAACTTCTTGGTCTTCAGGCTCTCCTCGGCTTGCGGAGCCGCCGGCGCGTGGCACGGGTCTTCTTGGGCCGCAGGTCCAGGGGCTTGTGCTTCTTGCCCTTGTAGAATTTCCTGAGGTTTCTTTCTGAGTCTGGTTAATGACGGTGAGAACACGGGCAATGTGTTTGCGGACAACTCGGATCTTGGCCAAGTTGGACGCAGCTCCGCCTGTCACTCTGGCGACGCGCAGCTGGGACAGCTCTCCTTCAGGTCGTCCAGCTGTTTCAACAGCTCCTCTTTCTTCTTGCCGTTGCGCATCCCATATTGCCTCCAAAGGGAGGTGAACTGTCAGTCAGCCAGCCAGCAGGGTGTCCGTGTGCACCTGCCAGGCCGTGGGAGGGGATGAAAGTTGCAGGAACAGCAGTCAGCATAATGGCTATGTCGCTGGACTCCCTTGTTGAAAACAGTTTGGCAGTTCCTCAAAAAGTTCCACACAGGGGGACCAGCAGCTGACGTAATGGCTATGTTGTTGGACTCCCAGGTAGTCGACCGTGGTTCGAGTCCTGGACCCGGTGGCTTAAACTCACGCCAGGCACGTGTGCGTGTGTGCCCAAGATCCTGAGAGGAGAATGGAGGAGAAGGGATTGCAGCATGGCTATTTCCCCAGGAAGTGACTTCTTGCTTTCTGTCTCTCTGTCTCTCTATCTCTCTCTGGCAAGCGCACGTACCCTATAGCAAAAACCTCTAAAAAAAAAAAAGTCTGACACAGGCCCAGCTGCTGTGCTGCGGCGTCCCTCAGGGCCTGCAGTGCTAGAAGCCATACGCGGTCGTGGTTCAGATCCTGGGCTGGACTAGAAAACACGCTGGGCACATTTGCGGGCACCAGGCTCCTGAGGAGCTGGAGGGCTGGGAAAGGGGATTGTGTCACGACAAAACCCCGTCAGCGTGGTGGGTGCGCACTGCGTACAGGGAGCCGGATCCCACACGGCCAGCCACAGTTCATATCCTAGCCCCAGTGACTTGAGAAACATGCCAGGCACCTTAGTGGGGCGGAGAAATGGAGGAAAAAGGACTGTGGCATGACCGTGCTCCACGGGGTAGGGGGTCTTTCTTCACTCTCTGGTGAGCACACATGTCCTTTGACAATAAAAATTTAAAATTAGAGCTGGCCCCATGGCCTGGTGATTAAGGCGGCTGAATCTCACGTGGCTGACTTGCGGTTCAAGTCCCAGACCCAGAAGCTTGAGAAACACGCTGAGTGTGTGTGCCCCGAACCCCGACAGGATGGAGCAGTGGAGGGAGACTGCAGCACGGCCGTCCCCACGGGTGCTCTCTCCCGCTCTCCCTCTCCTGGCCTGCCTGTCTCTCTCTCTGGAGAGCACATGTGTGCTCTGGCAAAACAGAAAAGAATACAAATACCTGTCAAAAAAAGCGTGGTCTCTCTCCTCAGTGGATCGTTATCCACTTAGTAATTTTTAAAAAGTGACACACATTGGGGCTGACAAGTGGTGTGGAGGTTAAGGGCACTGGACTCCCACATAGCCGACCATATTTCAAGTCCCAGACCTGGCAGCTTGCTTTCTCACTCTCTCTCTCTCTCCCCTACCTCCTCTCTCCCTCCCTCTCACTCTATCCCTCTCTGGTCAAGTTCAAATAAATAGATAAAGTTAAATAAAATAACTTTTTTTTTAACTTTATCTATTTATTTGAATTTGACTAGAGAAGGACAGAGTGAGAGCGAGA